TTGAATCATTCGCATGAGTTCCAGTGAGATACAGTCAGTAAATGCAACACTTGCAGAGTTCCTTTGAAAACACCACACGCACAACATCACTTGCCAAAAACCTTCCTTCTCTCTGTTTTCTTTCTTCTACCACCATGCCTGACGACACCGAGCAAACTGATCCCACCGTGAAGACACCGTTGCCCCCAGCTGACTACCCCAACTGTGCCAGCAACTGTGGCGATGACAATGGCGTCTGCATTCCTCTCCCTCAGAAGCTAGACCTGAACGAGAATAAGAGCAATCATTGCATCAAGACACCCGATGGAGAATGCATCCCGTTGTATTATCCCGATTCTCCCGCCCCACTTCCCCCGGACACTTCTCCCACAGTAGGACTGGAAAAGGCTCGCAAATTGCTAGCAGAATGGCTTGGGACATGTCTGCTAGTCATGGTGGTAGTGGCGTCGGGGATCACAGCCGAGCAATTGAGTGACGATGTCGGTGTCCAACTTTTGATCAATAGTGCTGCAACCGTGGCGGGTCTCTATGGTCTCATTACCATTTTGGGACCAGTCAGTGGCGCTCATTTCAATCCCTGTGTCAGTCTGGTCGATACTCTCTTTCGTGACATGTCTCTGGCCGACTTGATCCTCTACACGGTCTGTCAAATTGGGGGAGGCATTGCGGGCAGCATTGTGGCCAACAGCATGTATGATCACGTTGATATCTTTGCCATATCCACCAAGGAACGATACGGATATCATTTGTGGGTGTCAGAAATCATTGCCACCTGTACCTTGCTGTTGGCGATTCATGGTTGCATCCGAACAGGCAACGAACAATCTGTCCCCGCTGTGGTCAGCATGTGGGTGGGGGGTGGATACTTTTTTACGTCCTCGTCCATTTTTGCCAATCCAGCCGTCACCATTGGACGAATCTTTACTGAAACCTTTGCCGGAATTCAGCCACAATCAGCAGCCGCCTACATACCCTTTCAATTGATTGGGGCTTTGCTTGGATTCATCCTCGTCCAAGTCTTTTATACAAAGCAGTCGTCGTCACCCCATCAAGATGATGTTTTGTATCAAAGAACGTGCATGTTGGTCCATCGTGACTTCTTTGAAAGGAAAACTTATTAATACAATACCCCATAGTAACAAGTGATAGGTTTATGATGCATGAACAGAGACAGGGCCAAGGTGCCTACGGTACGGTGATTGAGCTACTTGTCGGTATGGCTGGCTCTTTTTAAGTGGTTACAGCGCATTAGTGGGTACCGGTAGAGCCTCAAAATAGAGAGGGTGTGAGCAAATGAATCAAGCAGACCGAGGCCTGATGTACGTTGGCAAGAGGCGAGGTGTTTGCCAACTGGCAACCCCAGCATTCTTTTCATTTATAGAGCGATCTTTGTCGACCCTAAAATGTAGTGGTGGTTGACATGTCTCCTGGTGTTTACTTTGGGACCCAGGCAAGCGCATTCCATAGAGCTCGCTGAAGTACATGATCAACGTAGGCGACAAGTGGCTTGCCAAAGGTGAAGTCGCAAGATAGCGACTTCGCCAAGGCCCACATACTCGTCCCAAAAAGGGTGAACGTCTCACAACCCCGCACCACACCTCTGTGGCAAAACATTCCGCACCTCTCTATGGGACGCACCTCGGCGGCAACATTCGCTCCGCACCTCAATGGGTCGGGGGCAGAATTCCGCACCTCTACTGCACCCGCCCCTTGACAAAAATCTGCACCTCCGTGCACGCACCTCAGCGGCAATATTCCGCACCTCTAGCATGCACCTCGGCGGCAAAGATTCAGCACCTCTACAGCGTGCACCTCGGGCGAAAATCCGCACCCCTACCGGTATGTCCCATGGGACGTACCTTTGGGGGCAGAATTCCGCACCTCAAAAATAGAGCCATCCTCTCACTCCACCCTTCTTTCTTTGTCTCTGAAATCACTTGGTTTGTTTTGCTAGTGCTAGCTACCAAGTTATGGCAGATTGATCATAGCATATCAAAACCATGACTTGAACTCTAGATACAAGCTTAGCTTGCCGTACTCTTAGCAATACGTGCGAGCGCAAATCCTAGGACGGCATTTTCAACACATGGCTTTGCTGACACAGACATACAGTAGTGTAGACGCCTGCCTTTCTTCCCGTTGCAGTCGCCAACAGGACACCACCCATGAATAATGGGAGCGCTTGAACCATGGCGAAATCGGCCAACGGGCATTTGGTTCCTGGGCGAAATCGCTGGTTGCAATTGTTGACGCGAATGCTTTTCCGATGAATAGATGCAAGGCATGTTTGTTTTGGCTTGTGGTTGCTGAAAACAAATGGCATTCGTCGCACTCTATATATCTCCATCATCTTCATCGTCGTCGTCACTGTCGTCATCCTCGTCGTCATTGGTTTGGATTTGGGAGTGGTTGCATATTACTACTACAAGTGCAATTTAAAAGTAGATTGATGATGATAGGCGTACCGGTCCAAGCTCGCAAGCAAGTGTCCATGAGCCGTGCCAGAGCCGCTTCCTCGGTGGGACATTTGAACAATTCGTCGAGTCGCCCCTCGTATCCCGTGAATTGACACCCCACCAGAATGCGACTGTCGCCAAATGTAGGACTCATGAGTGAATTGACAAAGGATTGTTGTAGATTGCCCACCATGGGTGTGTGCTGCAAACAGAAAGAGCAATAATAGACAACGGCAGATTAGTTAGTCAATAATCTGATGATGCTTGTAACAAGCTTGTCGTATCTCTCTCTTTCGAATCTTTTGTCGGTGAAGATTCGAGCTCACATCGGTTCAAAAGGGCGGGTAGGGACAATATTAATAAGCGCGGGGCATGGCTCGAAAAAGACTTAACGCAATCTCTGGATACTTTCAGCGTAATAATAATAATAATATGTGAGCTCTGTTGCATCGTTCTGAGGACTGTATGTGGGTGGTAACTGTTTAGTTAGTATTAGAATCGCGACAAACATTGATTTTGCAAATGACTAGTCTCTAGAGGTGCCTTGTATAACGCTGCAACTGACTTTACCGAATAAATTTTGAAAGGCAAAAGCTTCCGAACGATAGCATGAAAATCCGAACCGGGCAGCTATTGTCCCCTGAGAACCGATGTGAGCTAGATTCATTCGCTCATTTTTGCTCCAAAACCCTCACTTTTTGTTGAATGATACAGTTTGGACCAAGTCAGATCAGGGTCTGGTACTTACTTCTGGACCAAAAACCTGCACTGTACCCACAAGGATACCAACCCATTGACCTACTCCTGGTCCACCAACCCAGAAGCTGCTCCTCCTTGACTTGCTGCTGGCAGAGTATACAAAACACCCTAGCTGGCCGCGACACACAGCGAAACCCAAACTTGTTCGATAAATCTTCTCTTACATTATCATCTCTACTCTTCTGCGCTTTCTTTGACCTACTTGTAAAATTTGAGCGTGTCATCCTCTAGACTCTTGAATTGGAGCGAGTACCTGTCGTACAAGTAGTTCTGGTAAAGCCTCCAAGGATACAATGTGGATTGCCTGGGTATGAGATTTTTCGATCGTTGAATATATCCCGATGTCAAATCGATGGAAGGAACGGCCTCCATTTCATTTCCTGGCTTGGGCAATTCGGGTTGACAGTACCGATACAACTTGGTCTCCATGATCTTGATCAGATCCGATGCGGCTTTCATGGTCAGATCAATCTTGAGTGTCCAACTGGCATTGGTGTAGCCGCCAGCCACGAAAAAGTTGGGGACTTCATTCATCATGAATCCCTTGTAGATGAATCTTGATGGCATGTCCAATGGCATTTGATCCAGGGTAATTTTTATGCCTCCAAAGAAACGAATCTGCAATCCGGTAGCCGTAATGATAATGTCCGCGGGCAAGACATTGTTCTTTTCTGTCTGAACACCCTTCTCAGTGAATTCAACAATGTGATCCGTCACAACACTGGCCTTGCCCGACTTGATGGTTTTGAAGAAATCACCATCGGGGCATGCACAGAGGCGTTGATCCCATGGCTTGTACCGCGGCGTCCAATCATCTTCCTTGAATTTGTCGGATCCAATTTGATGTTCGACACCATCAATAAAGAACTCAGACAAGGCACGTGGAAATGCCTGGCAAATGTAGTACATGAACATGCCCAACAAAATGTAAAACCAGCGTGCGGCGTCTTGTCCAAACCAATAGAGCAGGGATCGTGGGACGATGGTCATGCGCGAGGGTCGGTTGGCCATGTAAGTCGGAGATCGTTGCAACATGGTGACATGTGAGGCCGCATTGGCCCCCTCGGTCAACGAGGGGATCAATGTGACCGCCGTGGCTCCACTGCCAATGACAACAATCTTCTTATCTTTGTAGTCCAAGTCTTTGGGCCAATGTTGGGGATGAATGATAGGACCCTGAAAGGCATCTCGGTTGGGAAACTCAGGAGTGTGTCCTTCTTCATAGTCATAATAGCCCGTACAAGAAAACAAATAGCGTGCTCGATAAGTGACGGTAGTCGTTGAATCATCATTGTTCTGTTTTTGCAATGTGGTCAAGGTCCAATTGCCTTGTTGGGAGTCCCAATCGGCGTTTTGTACTTGGCACTGAAACTGGACGTGCTTTTGCAGGTCAAATTCTTTGACAACTGTGTGGAGATAGTCCAGAATGGTTTGCTTGGTTCCGATAATGGATTGACTCTGACTCGCCCAAGGCCGAAATGAGAAGCCAAAGGTGTACATGTCGGAATCGCTGCGAAGTCCGGGATAGTCGAACAAATCCCAGGTTCCGCCCATATTCTTTCGGGATTCGAGAATGCGGAACTTGATACCAGGGCAAGTGCTCTGCAAGTGATAGGCTGCCGAGACCCCTGAAAAGCCCCCGCCAACAATCAAGACGTCATACTCCACAACGTTCTTGCCGGTGGTGGCACCATTGGTGTCAGTCGCCATTTTGTATGGTTTGGACGTGTTCTTACGGGATGCTTCTCTGCGTTGCACTTCCTCTCAAAGTGGATTCCCGTGCCTTTTCAACAGTCGAGGATCCAGATTATGAAAGAAAGAAGGAGGTGATTGTTGCCTTGCTAAGGGCGGCTCGGTGGCTGTGTGATCTTTGAAGGCAGCAAGATACCAGGACAGCACGAGTCAACTCCAAAGATTTCATAGTGCCCGAGTTTGCGGTACAAGCTTTCAAGCAATTGCTAGCTACCAGTAGGTTACTCTGATGCAGGACCGAGTTGTATTGGCGGCTTTGTTACTAATTGACTTATTGACTCCTACCGGTACGGAAGCGCTGAAAAATGATGATGCTTGGCCTCTTTCGTGTTGGATGTCATCAAACAATAATTCGACAATCTATTCGAGTCGAATCGATTCGAGTGTCAGTCGAATCTATTCGAAACAAATGGTTAGCGTTAGGGGTCACTTTTTGATGTCACGAACGTTCGCAAGAACCCCGAGCATGCCAAAGTCGAATGCAACCGTACATGTACTGTACTGGGACTCAAGCACAAGTGGGATACGATTGGCCTTGTCAGTTTAGAAGGCTGAACGTTCCTTTGCCGGGTGCCAATGACGACGCGGAGCAGCTCGCTTCAGTTTACGCTCACAAAATAATTTGAACTTGAAGTTCATGTTCGCCTTTTTTACAAAATTAACCCAATCGCCATGCCCAAGTTTCACCTCCTTATATTACTCCAGTGCTTGCTTTGTTGTGGTTGTCAACCATGTACTGGAATGATTCGATTAATAACAAACAATGGCAACCACAAGATTGCAGAAACATTTGCTACTGTAACCAACAGATTCCAAAACAATGAGCACCAGCAGCTATCCGGAAGCGAGGGTTCTCGAAATGATCGCCACCGGTTCCAGCAAGGCCTTCCGTACTACTTCGACGCCTCTTTTCCTCCGATCGATCATGACAATCACCACCTTCTCCTCCTCAAGCCACTCTTTGACCCACAAGTGTGGCAAGCAAAGAATCCCTCCCTTGTCTTTGACTATTCCAATACTACTGCTTCCGAAGGATCTTTCAATGTATTGCCAATACAACAACAACCACAATCGCCAGAAACAGATATCATACCGAATATCTTGGTTGCCTCACTGCCCTCCTTGGAAGACCATGAAGGACAGCTTGCCCTGGAATTGACCCACGAGGCGGCTGACAGTATTGACGCCCAAATAATTGTGCTGCTTGTTCCGCCACCTAAAAGCTCCTTTTGGCAGTTTGACTGGAAACAACAATTGGCAGATCTATTGCGTGTGGATCGTACTACAAAAGACTTTGACTATGTCGTGGTGGAGCCATCCCAAACCCACGCATTCCAAGAGTTGCTACTGGAAAATGGTGGAATTCTGTTGGATGAGTTCACAATAAGAATGGATGACAGCACAACAAGTTACAACAACAACAACAACTCTCGGTTTGCAATCTTGAATCCTCTGGTGTGCTTTGGCTTGCCCATCTTCTTTTGGTTCTTGTGGGGACGATGGCTCGGCAAGATGGCCGACAGTTATCTTCCTCAATCGGCTGCTATTCTGCAGTACAACTTTTCCAGCCAAGACGTGGGGCCACCACAAGTGCTTCCTATACACAATAATGATGAGGAACCTCCGTGTTGTGCCATTTGCCTCGAGGACATGACACCGGGAACCACCAAGGTTTGTGTCTTGCCCTGTCGACACTATTTTCATCCCCATTGCATGGATGAGTGGCTTTCCCATGCGTCTGCATCGCATTTCCATCGGGGATTGCAACAGATTACTTCTTGCTGTTGGTGCCCTTTGTGCAAGTATGATTTGACGCAACATTGTCTAGAACAACAACAACGCCGTCGGGAGGCGTCTGCCGCCGCCCCGCAATCATTACAACCAGGCACTCAGGCTGTGGAGGTCGAATGGTCGATCCCCACGAGACATCATGGACGAGTACTGGCGAGACGAAGAAGTGGGGAGATTCATGCGCTACCGGTATAGCTCAAATTTTCGGGAATATGACCTGCTAACGGAAAAGCAGGTACTACAACTCCCATCATCAAAGACGGCTGGTTTCCGCGGTGCAAGTTGACATCTCAGCTGCCACTGTTGGTTTACTGTAGCTGGATTCGATTCATTTGTCTAATCATATAGAGTTTACATTTACACATTGTTCCTTCGGTATGGATACGTAGACGATGCTGTTTTACCAACCATCTCTCTTGAGTTGAGTTGGGTCAAGTCTAGCCAGCTACGGTAGCCACCGACTAATTGTTGGTTCCATCGTTACGAGGACTCGACTCAATCCCAGTCAATTATTGCTTCCATACTAGCTAGCTAAAACAGTTGTCACCCAAGACTAGTCCGGCATTCCATACTACTAGTAGGTGCACTCTGTTGCCGAGATTCCGTGCGTGTCAGCGCCGTCATTGTGACAATCGTTAATTTCACAGAGACAAAATTCTGGCGCCACCGCCACTCGGAAGACCCTGACGGATCATCCTCTCAGTCAAGTTTTGGAGGAAACGGAGGACGAGACAACAACATCCTTACCTAGCTGGCTACATGTATGTATGTAGTTCGCTCACCCAAAAGAACAGTAGACGACAATGTTGGAGACGATTTATTTTAGTACATGTATATCATCAATTCAATTCGTTGTGACTGGTTCACGCCGTCATTTTGCCTTTTTCGCGACAACGCTTTTAGTATTTAGTAGATTGATTTGGTGATTGATTCATTTTCTAATTTCCTTCTTCTTATTTCGCTACAACTGGCCGCTATGTACTATGTACTCTATCATTTTGGTGGCCCCCAAAGTCGCTTTCCGTCCTCCTTACCCGTACACAATTTCTTCCTTCCTCCTTCGCTCTACCGACGGTCACCGGTTGCCAACACTCGCCTTGATTGCCTGACCTTGTAGACTCTTTCCATCCATCGACACACGCGTAACCCCACTGGTGATTGATTGTATATCCAATGAAAGAGACAATCCGTCAAAATCACACCACAACCAAATCAACCAATGACAATGACGCCGCTTGTTTGTTTACTCCTTGGCCTTTCGGAGATCGGACATGAGGTTTCCAACCGCCTTGGTCTCGACATGGCTGAGACGCTTCTTGGCCGCTCCAGCTTCGATGCGGACTTCGGACAACAAATCCTGCTTGGCGACGGGTTTGACCGTCTTGAGGGAAGTTCGCTTTTCCGTGGTGCGAACAGAAGACATCAAATCGGCAGTCTTCTTGACTTCAACATGGCTCAAACGCTTCTTTTGCTCATTGCCGGCGTTGACAACGGACTGCAAGGGATGGGCCTCTCGTGTTTCGGTCATGGTGTCTCAAAGAATAATAAATCAAACAACAAACTGGAAGTGAAGTGATCCAAAAGTGGTCTTGGTGTTTTTGTGTGTTGTCTTGCGATTTTTCTTTGAAAGCATTGAGAGTGACAGTCGTTCAAAAAATATGGAGGCTTCTCAAGGGGTGATCCACGCTCGGAATCGGAACACGAACCGGCATGTCACACCATGTCAGATTTCCCTTCGCTTTCGCTGGGTTGCACCCCTTTTGAGATCGTATAAATAGCCGTTGGATCGGAGTGTCGTAAAGAATGCCTTCTTATCAAGTCAGCCGACCTTCCAAATTAAGCCTGATCCCTACCGTACTACGGCTGTAGTAATGAAGAGTTTCAAGAGAACAGACAGCCGAAGGCTGATGCCCTCAACTGTCAAAAAAGAGATTTGATTCTTTGGCCAAATCCAACACTGTGTTCAACTGAACACACAGTCTACTGTAGTCTATCGATAGCCAACCAAAACACACACATTGGTACTCGGAGTATGTTTTACCAGCTAACAATTAATATTTACCTCATCCTTTATGACAGACGTACAGACTAACTTGCACACATACTCTGGTACTCGGAGTATGTTTACCTGCTAACAATTATTATTTACCCCATCCTTTATGGCGGACGTACATACTAACTTGCACACACACATAGTTTGGTACTCGGAGTATATTTTACCAACTAACAATTATTATTTACCCCATCCTTTATGCCGGACGTACACACTAACTTGCACACACAGCGACGTACAGACTAACTTGCACATACAGCGATAAAAGTGTGAAAGACCCTCAGTCGGTTGAGGGCAATGAAATCACCAGACGCTTCACCGGGTGCTCCCCAGCCAGCCAGACCCTTGCCAGTTCCAACAGTTAAAAATCCTTGGCAAAGGTGCATTGCCAGTTCCAACAGACGAATCCTTGGCAAAGCTGCTCAGGTTACTCAGGTACTCAGGTACAGTTGTTCCCGGCAAGATTGTCCATTAGCTTTGCCGCTTTTAAGAAAAAAAAGTGCGTGCAGCGTCGCAAGTGGAAAATCGCTCCATTCCACCGTACCACCGTATGTTTCATTGACTTGGCTTGTTCGATACATAGACTCCTTCTGCCAAGGCAACCAAGGCAGGGATCTCTTCACTACTACTACTAGCAACAGTTGGCACTGAAGACTGGAGCAGCAGGGACCGATTACAGCCAGAGAGAGTCAAAAGCTGAAATAGACTACATTTAATTCACCTCTTCTTCTTTGCAATTTCAGCAGGGGCTGGTTTGCGCCACAGACAAGGTTTCTGCCAAGGCAACCAAGGCAGGGATCTCTTCTCTACTATCATAGAAGACATCTGCAGCTGAAGATGGGAGTAGCAGGGACCAAATACAGCCAGAGAGAGAGTCCAAAGCTGAATTAGTATATTCTTTCAATTCTACCACAATGGCTCCTTGTTTCTATTACCACATCATGCCCCAAGAACTGCAACCACGGAGAAAAATTGGCAATACTACAAGGAGAAGAGATACCATCGTTGGAGACTGATGAGTTCCCCAGTGAGGAACTAGATAGCAAGTCCCAATCGGCAAAGACAAAGTGCGATCAAAGGAATCGTCGGAAGCACCACTTTCTACTGAATCGATCAGCCGACACTATAAAAGAATGGTAGCCCTATCAACGCTTAAAGGGATGGAAACTACACGATAAGTGCTCTTTATACCAATAGGAACAAGCCCCATCGGTCTGTTATTCGTGGAGATTCATCAATCGCAGATAGAAGTGCATTGTTTGGAATTTCCGTTCTCCGTTTTGCAAAAGTGTGGACTTCATGGGATTGTTTGAGAGCACGGATAAGGCATCAAAGTAACAGTCGGTGGCTGGAAGCAATTCGTTTGAATGTGCAACAAATGATAGAGGATTGGAACCAACCAGCATGTGTCTCCCTCGGGAGTACTTCTGCGAAGGCCTGCACCACTGAAGTAGCCATTCACTAGCTAGGCAAACGATAGGAAGCACTAGGAAGGAAGAAGCTTTGTTGTAGCTCAATCCCTTGTCGTCCAGTACTTGTGCTAGTTATATTGCTCGCGGCATCTCTCCTCTAGCTAGGAGTCTATTTCGATGGCTGTGTAGCTAATGTGATGATAGGAACTCCCCCACGGTAGCACCTCTTCCCACGAGAATGGAAACTAATGGTTGCTGAAGCGGCAGCAATTGGAGCTATCCCAACACTTGTAGAGGAGGAATTAGAAAGAAGGAACCAAAGTCCATCATGCCAATTGCAATCAAACCAAATTCAGGCTGTCGCCGTGATGCTAGAGTTCAAAGCTGTCGAAAAAGCAGCAAGTGAATGATACCCAGGCTGTCGACTCGACTCATCGTCTCTTGCTTTGGTCGACTCGTCGTCTCTTGTGCTTCCGTTGACTCATCGCTCCATGCTTTCGTTGAATGTAACTCATTGCTTTGTGCTTCGGTTGATCGACTCGACTCTTTGCTTGTGTTGGAAGCAGCGAGAAGCATGGAAATTGGATTTTAGAGGTAATTCTTTTGTCGCAGAAATACAGGCACAAGGGACTCTTTCTCTGTGCTTCGGTCGACTCGTCGCTCCGTGCATCAGTCAACTGTCACTCATTGCTTCGTGCTTCTGTTGACTCATGGCTAGCCAGAATTCCCAGCACTGCCCCTTGAATGACGAATGGTGGCCATTGTGGTAGAATTGAAAGAAAATTCAATTTCAGCTTTTGACTCTCTCTGGCTGGCTGTAATCGGTCCCTGCTGCTCCAGTCTTCAGTGCCAACTGTTGCTAGTAGTAGTAGTGAAGAGATCCCTGCCTTGGTTGCCTTGAGAGAGACCTTTTCTGTTGCACAAACGCCCACAGTTTGAAACAATGGCAGAAAGAAGAGGCAAATCAAATGTAGTCTATTTCAGCTTTTGGCTATCTCTGGCTGCAATTGGTCCCAACTGCTCCAGTCTTCAGCTGCAGATGTCTTCTATGGTAGTAGAGAAGAGATCTCTGCCTTGGTTGCTTTGGCAAAGACGTTGTGTGCCACACAGAAGAGCTGAGATGGTAATGTAATACGGAGCGATGGAATTAAAAAAAAGGCGATTTTTCGCTGCACTTTTTTTTAGTTGGCAAAGCTAATGGACAATCCTGACGCAAACAACTGTAGCTACAAACCCTATCTCGAAATCCGATGCAGCTTCTAGTTCGGGCAGTACACGTGTACCCGTTCCTGTCCCTACGTAAGCTCGAACGTGTCTGTTCGTCCCATAATTTTCACTCTCTGTGCCTCTCTCTGAGAAGCAACCTGAACACACAACCCAAGAAGCAAATCAAAGATGAAGCTCTCCAATGCCTGCATCTTCCTCGCCGCCGCCGTGGTCGTGGATCCCGTCGCTGCCCGGATCGGCCAGATGAATGGCATCCACGACCACCAGCCACACCGCAACAACCGGCGCCTCAATCTCTTGGAGGTTGAGATTTTGGATCCATCCCAGAGGAACGAAGAAGAATCCAAGAGGGACGAAGAACTCTACCAATGCGATGTCCGCTACGAGGAGACCACCCAACGAAGCGCGATCCTCGACCTCGAAGCCTGGCTCGAGTTCATCAACGACGAAGAAGAACCGAAGGAAGAAGGAGGATCGGAGGAAGAAGGAGGATCAGCCGATGCCGACAATCGCGACCTCGACGAAGACAACACGAACAAAGAACTCTTGAACTTTCTGAATTTGGAAAAGTTCAAGCAGCAAAAGACTGCTCAATGGAGCGCCGAAAACAAACCTCCGCCTAATTTGAACACCGTCCTGACGCACCCGATCAAAAAATCGACGTTTCAGAAACTCGATTCCAATAATTGGGGGGAAGGCAAGAAGCTAGACCTCAAAACGCTCGATTTATTAAAGCTTCCCACGAATCTCCCGGACTTGGAAGTGAAAGCGGACAACCTAAAGGAGGAAGCGAAGGAGGTGAACTTCCGCAATGGCGTGTCGGATGACGAGGAGAAGTTTGACGACGTCATGGAAGCAGCCTTTGTGGAATGGATCAACTGTTTCATGGCGTATGAGTTCGCCGAGAACGAGCCAGCCAAGGGCGACAGTGACAGCGGTGACAGCGGTGACAGCAGTGACAGTGACAGCAGTGACAGTGGTGACAGCAGTGACAGTGACAGTGACAGTGGCGAAAAAGCTGACTAAGTTGCTGATGACGAAGGTCTTTTGTTCGTACTACATGACTGGATGTTATTGATCTTTTGTTGCCTTTTGTCATGGATGCAACAAGTTGCTTGTCGTAAAGGAAACTACTAGATCTAGTACAACGGGGCAAGGAGAGAAGTGGAGGACGGATAAGACGGAGGGCGATCAATGGCACGTCGACCGGACAACCGATCAACGAGACAGATCTGACCCAACAGTGTCCGATCGATTGTGTTGCAAGCAAGCGATTGCAGGATGGGTGGGCGTGTGTGACTGGTGGATGTGGTTTGTGCCAGGTACTCTACTAGCTAGCTAGCTAGAAGCATACAGTATTAGAGATTAGTGTTTACCTGGAGTTACGAATATTTCTTTGAAAGCAACTTAGGGACGAAACCTGTCATAGCACAACGATGGATTTGTCCCTTCCCGGCTTCAAGTTCCCGGTCAAGGTTGAGTGGTGCCTAACTACACGGTATAGCACACCTGCCCGGTCGTCAGTCGTTGTAAGAATGCATACCGCAGCCCCGAGTGACTCAGTCCCAATTCCCACAACGTCCGTCCCTTCTACCCCGCTGCCATTGCTTTTCCCCATCCTCATCTTAGTTCTCTCTAACGTAACTTTCCCGTTTACTTGTGGCTGGCTTTGTCGGATAGTAGTCTATTGAGTTACGCACTGTACTGTACTGTAAGGTACCATGGCAGCAGCCCCTCAACAAGCCCTCTCGAGTGGAGGCAAGGTCCTATTTGGATCTCTCTGTGCCGGTACATTTGTGTTGGGTGTCTGGCAAACGCAACGATTCTTTGAAAAGCAAGTGTTGACTACTGCCCGTGAAGAGCAAATGCAACAAGCTCCACTAACGTCCTTGACGGCAGCCATGCATCTGCGACAAGAAACTCCCTTTCGACGATGGCAAGTGACGGGTCAGTTTGTTCACAAGGGAGAAGTACTGGTGGGACCACGAGGACTCCCTCCCGGTGCCTTGCCCAAAAAGACGACACCATCGAGAGGTGTCATGGGTGATTCCAGTGCCGGTACGGGACCACAGGGATACTTTGTTGTGACGCCATTTGAAATTACCGAAGAAGATGCCACGTCCAAATCCACACGTACCGTGCTGGTCAATCGAGGATGGATCCCCAAGGAATTCATTGATCAAACTACCAACACAAAGGGACTTTGGAGTCGACCGGAAGGATCTTGCATGATTTCCGCCATTCCCATTCAATTTGAGGGTACGTTCATTTTATTTTGCTGAGTTATTTGTTATGATTATCCAAGTTATTGTTCCTTCTCATTTCTCATTGTACAACCATGTTTCTTTGTCGTTGTCGTAAATGTAGAACCCAAATGGCTCAAGCCACAACACGATTTTTCCAAACGACCATTGAGACTCATCTTCTATGATGGAGATGCCTTCAAGGTCGTGTTGGAACAAATTCGTGATGACAACAACAATCCACGCAATAAAGTGACAGAGGAAGAAGAATCCCTCATTCTCTTGACGCAAATCAAAGACACGGATCATCAAAAAGATGTCAAAAAATTGGCGTTTCCATTGCAATCACCGGCCGATCAAGTGGGTGAATACAAAATTAGTCCTCTTATTCATGCTGGATACGCTACCACTTGGTTTGGTTTGTCCGGTGCTGGCTTGTACATGACACGCAAGTTGTTGACAAGAGGAAGATAGTAGGATAACTAGTCTAGCTAGATTATGATCTCTTTTTTTAAAACTTTACAGGTTTAGATATATATGTCTATGCAGTTCTGCGACTTTAGCGGCGGGAGTCATCAAGTGTATTCTATACTATGTTTTTTCAGTAGCATCATGTTACAGAGAGGAGATAGATCAGGAGTTGCCATCATCATCAACTCAACTCATTTCACAAGAATCACCTCCTCTTGATTCACCGGAGAAGGTGCTGCTGTTCGGAAGGATGGTGTCCAATAGGAAGATTTCTTGGAAATCGCACCGCTTTCAGTCATGTCCTTGGACGTGAGTTCTCCTTGTTCTAATAACTCCAGCCATGGCAGTCGTTGCCAGTCGTTGTCGCGTTCATAGTCCAGCGGAGCTTCGTAGGACGAAGGTGCCACACCAGAAGCGCTAGTATTCTTTCGTCTCGTCCTCAAGGACGATAGCCATGGTCTTCGCTGGGAGGAGGAGATATCATTGTTCCTGCCGTCAGGATGGGTGGTAGAAGGCGGACTTGTTGTTGTCATTCTGTTTGGCTGGGTTGCACATCCATCAAACTTGAGATTGATATTGTGGCTCTTCCTCGGTTTTCACGCGGCCATCATCGTTTTTGGCCGGTCCCGCAGGAGTATGACCTTTCGGGCAAACACACCAAAAGTGACCCGTGTTCGGTCCACAGCCAGACGGTGGCTAGTAGGATAGCTTCCGCCAACGGGCTACAATGGTCCATTGTATCAGAACTGTTGCAGGGAGCCAAGCCAAGCCAAACCAAGACCATGCAATCCATCGTTGTACCGGTCAGTGAGCAGCCATCAATTAGTTTAATGTATGCAGCATTGGACACCAAAGGTGAGCGGGCTCAGCACATTGTTTTGCCTCTGATTGCTTCTTTCACAAACAAAGAAGAACTAGCTAGCTAGCTAGAGGCACCCTCAAGACGACAGCCGACATACCTAAGACAGTCGTTTTGGCTCAAACTTGATTGCCTACATATCTTGTGCAGAATAGATGTAGGCTAGCAACGGATTTTATGTTTTATGTGCTGGTTTTATGCATTGATGGCTGTCAGCCACCATACATCACTGTTCATACAGAGAGACAGACACTGCCTCCTCATAAAACGCACTGATCTTGTCTTTACAGGCAGGGAGATACCGTACCGTACGTTGTCATAGGGAGTTCCTGCTTGACCCCAACGTGTCGACAGTCATGCTCTGCTTGAGCCTCCAACTCTCTGGTTTGCTCGCTTGCTGATCATGAATGGGTCTTTTCGAACGAAACAGCGGCTCCGTGATCTCAGCGCATAAAAGCAGGAACGACGATCTTCTTGTGGTGAACAACATGGTTGCTTGGGCAGCTTGAGGGGGCGGGGTTGCTTGCTTTGAGTGGTGTCACTTGTTTGGTGCTGAATGCTGCTATCAAATGCTTCGGAAAATGAGGAGCGAAGCATTTGGATGGAAGCGCCGCCCGAGCACCAAGGAACTATTCTTCCTTTGTGGCTTCGGAACAGACCTGGTTTTGGTTGGACTACTATTACGTTTGCGAACCCGCGTGGGAGTCGCTGGAGCGATGGCTGATCCTACCACCTCGTGGCAATTCTCAAATGTCTTGGCTCCTCATCAGTCTCTTCATCGAAGTAAGATGCTGCAAACCGTGGCCACCGAACCAGCCTGGCCTCTTCATTGAACAATGTTAGTAGCAAGTTAGAAGAGTGAGAGGATAGGAGACACCTATTACCGTAGCTAGTACTACGGTAGCTAGTCTACCGCCCTCGGCGCGCCGAATGGACTTCCCCACACAAACAAAACAATGCAGGACCAACTTTCGAGATTCACTGTGGACCTGCCAAAAGAGTCTACAAGAATCCTTCAACACAACACAGCTACAGTAGGTACAGTACAGCCGCATATTGGAAGCTATCACGTCCTCCAAGGTGACAGCAAACCTGTAACCTTGCTGACTTTTCGATGTGTCGGAGAAGCTGTCTACTTTTCTGGCAAGATACCACACCGGTTGTGTGAGTTGAGTTTGGTTGGCCAATTGGAACTCGTTGCGAACTGCAGCCAAATGGAATGTTGTAGTTGACGTTCTTTATCAAGGTTGAGGCATCCATTGCCGGAGCTGGTCAAAGGCCAGTCATCCCTGCAAACGTAACTAACTAAAGATGCCAACAAGCTTGGTGCATCTCCCCCCAAGACTTGGTCTCTCGTTGCCTCACTGTTTCCCGATTGTCTCTACACCAGCTTCGGTCTTTTACAGCCACATGGTGGGTTTTCAGCCAGCGTCTATCCTTGTTGTGTGGGCAAGTATCGAAAGGAGGATCTAAGATCTAAGACGGGCACTCGGCGTGTACTTCGAAGCATCGCCCTTTGAAAGCCTGGACAAGCAAATGCCAACAACAACATCTCGAACAAGCCAAGCATCAAGCTGAAATTCCTTTTTCTCATCTCTTTTTGGTGTACCGGAATCCGCCTGAGATGCCAACTTTTTGTTCCCGCAAATAATGAAATCCACTCTAGCTAGATCTAGCTAGCTATTACGCTATTACTAGAGAGCAGCTAGCTGGCTAGCTTCTTATGCGCTCTAACAATCAATCATTTGAAGTGTGCCGGTGTCTTCTTTTGATCGTTCAGCTTGCAAGATGCTGCAATCGTTGTCAGTTGCCTTCACCCCTCTACTAGCCCTCATTTATTTGACACGTGCGTGCCAGCCAAATTTTGTGACACCGGGGGCTCACCGAGCCGAGTCACAGTCATTCTCTCATCTGAGGTACCGGTACGTAACCGCTACATGTACCGCTTTCTTAGCTCATAAAGTCACAGCAAAACACCCAAAGAAGATCTTTTGCATAATTTTCTTTCCTTGCTGAGCGAGCTGCTGAAAGTCACTTTGGGAAAGAAAAGCAAGAAAAGATGAGAGCTCTTGGTTGTTTGCTACTTCTCTTGACTGCCCAGCATGTGGTGTGGGCACACGGACGCTATCATGGCAACCAAAGGCAGAAGACTGTTAATAGTAGTAGACCCCGTCGACTCGACTCGAGGAGACGCTTACTGTGAATGACTTCTGTGGCAACATCACTGCCCTTGAGATGGAAATGACCGCCATGTTTTTGGACTTTTGGGAAATTGGGGATGTGGATATTCTCACTCCAACCGGCACGTACTCTTGCCGTTGTACTGAACTAACCACTTCCATATTCACAGTGGAATGTGGTCTCTTGTATTTTTACCTTGGTGATAACTTGACAGCGGAAGAACTTCTATGGGAGACGCCCAGCGCCAACAAGGAACTTGTGACCTTTGAAGCGAAGCAAGAAGGAAACGAAACTGTCTTTGTACCTACCAGTGGCGTTTGGCTGCAAGGAGTAGATGGAGACGACAGTTCTCGCATGTTAGAGACCTTTGAATTCTCGAATTCGTCGCTCGAAATTGCCAGTTGTGGTGCATTTGATGCACTTTGTGGATTCACTATCTTTGAATGTGAAATCTGTCCCGGAGGACAAACGATTTCCTGGTCTGGCTGCTACGATTCTGTGACTTGCGAAGATGAGAGTCATGGACTCTTAATCTTTGCGATACTACTCGACGATGGGATTACCATAGTCCCCTACCAAGAGCCGGAGGAAGCGGAGGATGAAACCTGTCAGACCATCGAGGACTTTTGTGCTGACCTGGCATCTATCGAAGAAGCCATCACCGACTCCTTGAGCAATTTCGTTGTTGAGGACGGTGGTCAAGTAGTGGAACCGTTCAACTGCAGCTGCACTGAAATCAATCCAGATAATGTGACTTTGGACTGTGATGCACAGTATGCCTATGATGAGGTCGTTGTCAGCACGGAGCACATGATCTGGAAGAGGCAAGAAGGCACGGACTACTACCTTCCAGAACAAGTTGGTATTGAGGATCAACTCCTTGAGGATGCTGGTACCGGCGCAAACTATAATGAGACATATGTAGTGGCTCCTGGCCAAAATGACGTGGCTTCCTGCAACATTGGTGGATGTGCAGCTCTTTATTGTCTGCTCTGCCCTGGAGAGACCAGTGTCCTCACAAGTTGCCCGGATAGTCCCCAATCGTGCGAATCAGCAAATTCCGTTGCCTTCCTGTTTCAGTTCCGTGATATAAAGTTGGCAGTGGAAGGATGTGAGGCCAATGCTACTGCATTGACGGCAGCCGTGAATAAGGCTGGCTAGACAGCCGATATCATCGTGGAAGGTGTGCATGTTATATTCATGATCGAGGTAAACCAGAGAATCTGGGATGATAGTGCCGGTGATGTGGAACCGGTCCTTGATGACCCGTACAGGTAACCAGTAACGGTGAAGAGTCCAGTCTGTTACAAACTCCTGCTCTCGTTTTATAGTCTGATTCTCATAACTTTCCTTAGGTTCAGCACAAGCCCACCGACACATGCGCAAGTTGGCCGTAATATCATAAAAAATACTACCGGCAATAGGAGCCACATGCTTGTATCATACAGGGGGTGGCTGATGATTACCAGTGAAGCGTTGCATTGCAGGGCTAGCAAGAATCTAAGATGGTATCAACACTTCTCACTTGGGCGCAGGTATTCCGGTACTGACTATCAAGAAACCTCCCTTCTCTATTGTTTGCTTCTATCTAGCTAGATGTACAAAGCGGTACGGCTGATACCGGTAGGTTTGATTCGATGAGATGGGATAAATATCATCCTACCGTACTGTTGAGATGCATTCTGCCAGACCTCATTGCAATAAGCGTGTTTTAGACTATTTAGACGGATCTTTTTGTCTACACAGCAGCATACACAAAAGCATGTCGCTCTCCCCCCAATATCAAACTAAACAGGACAGTATGAATTCTCAGTTGGGTTGATTCATTCTCCAAACGAAAGAAGAATATTCTCCAAGGCATTTGTAGATTCTTGTAGCTAGCTCCCTTTGCATTTCCCAATCTGCCAACATGTATGTGTCTTCCAGCTTCCATCGCCATTGGACTGTATGAACAACAACACTATTGATACAACAGGACAGCTCGGAGGTGAGCTGTCCTGTACCAGGTATCACACCCAAGTATTGATGTCAACTTGTGTCATCAGGGATAATCCGTGATTGTGACAAAATTGGTAGAAGCAAAGGCTTGAGCAGACTTGCGCTGCCACCAAAGAACCGAGTAGCACGCTGCGAACGTTAGGCCAACCATTGTCCATAGCGCCACCAACACGGCTTTGTCGGTCAATGTGGCCGGCCTTCGCTTTTGCCGTGACGAGGGGTGCCCGTCATCGGCATCTTCCAGCTCAAAATGTGATGGGCAGTGGTAGTTGGCCTCTATGATTTCTTGGTTTTCCGTCTGACGAGGAGACTCTGTGGGTAGTAGCGGGCTCCTCTCTCCATACTCTGTCATCTTCGCCGGTCACTTTACTTCTGTGTTATGATCTCCATTCTTCCTTCTGCATCGACTTCCATTGTTTCTCCATAATAAGCTCCATCTTTTGATGCATTTGCGGGGCAATTCATTCTCATCATGCAAACTGACGGCTGAAGAAAGAAAGTGTGACGGATGACGAAGATTGGTGTCAGTGACTGGACTGCCTGAGTCCCCAACTCCTCAACCAGCTACCAGTCGAAAAACAGGTTACATCACTCAGGACAGGTTACATCCTCTGTGGTCCCAGGAATACCACGGAATTTTTTGAAAACCGGTATTGAAAAATCCGGCACTGGAGGAATCGGCACTGAAATCCTCCCCGGAGAGGAATGCATGAAACAGCATCACCTCAAAAACAAGCCATCACCCATCATTTTTTCTTGTCACTCCTCCCTCCTCTAAAGTAGATGTACTTTGTCACACTTGTAGCCACATCTAGAAGATACCCCCTATACCAACATTGTCAATATCGATGTCAAGCTACGACGTGCCGTCGAGCCATTCTATCTAGAAGTCCATTCGGTGATAGTGTAACTATTCAGGAGTTGGGCAACTGCAGTTGCCGTTTTCTCTTGATTTTTAACTTTCTGGCATCAGTGGCGGCTGTGGAAGCCATTTCCCAGGCCCCTACCCCATTGCCTTTCACAATGGCACCACCCCTGAAACCCAGAAAGCCAAAGGCATCCAATTCTACACCGGTAATTCCAGCCAAAAGGAAGAAATCGGTGGTGGATTCCCAAATCGAATCTACCGTCTCGATTCACAAGACCAGCCAAGGGCTCAACCAGGCACAGAAAAAACTGAACGAAGGCATCCAGCTGCTAGGTTCAAAAGATAAGACTCTCAGCAGAGCCAAACGAAGCAATTCTAGGACTTGGTGGAGGTCCAGTCATATTTAGGGCAATGCGCTGCTAGGTTGAGCAAGGATGCCAAAACTGTTTCTCCCATTGCTGGACTTGACTATGGGCTAGCCAGATTGGCCACTGCCGAGAAGAATAGAAATCTGAAAGCGGTTCGTCTTGGGCTCAATGACAATGAATCCAACAAAGAGAATGTTGATCCGCAAGTTGCCCTTCCCGAGAAAGGTAGTTCCGCAACCAAACCTCTTCGAAGCAAGTATTGCTGCCTTCTTTGTCCTCCTCCAAAGGATGGGATGGAGCACACTCGCCTTGAGTTTTGCAAATCATTACTGCTTATCCCAGTCGATCTGAAGCTCGCTCCAGCATCATAAATGAGGCTGTTGAAAAGAAATGGGTTCCAGTCAAGCCAGCAGCAATTCGAAAAGCCATTCGAAACTTCCATAGTCATCTTAGCTCAGGTGGAACAATCAATACATTTCCTGATGCTCCCTGGTTTGCCTCCAAAGGTGGCAGGCCTATGCTAGATATGAGTGATGTATTCGATGTTTCCACTGGTTTATCCACCAATCAAGGCAGTTCTCTTGGATATGGGCAAATCGAATCCATCATAGCTACAACGGCAAAAAAGAAACTTGAAGCCAAAGGCATGTCTGTTCTCCGGAATGAAGCCGTTTCTCCCTGTCGAAGTACTGTATCAAACTACGGTGGAGCTTTAGCCTTGCTTTCTGGTACCAGTTGTACTACTTCCAAGGTTATCAACAAGACTCCCACCAGAGAGATTGCAGAGAACTCACTTCGTTCCAGTCAAGCTTTTGGCGCTGCTGTTGGCACCTCTCACTACATGCCTACAGAGATTGAACATCCAGAAGTTAGGAAGTTTCTCAATGAGAAAGCTACGGACTCAGAAAAACATGTCTACAATACCATCAGCATGCTTCACAAGGGGGGCCCCCTATTGCCAGTTAGGAAAGGTCTCATTCTGTCATCCGATGATACAACGGAATGGATCGTAGAGGGTCTGAACAAGAAGAATATTGACAAAATTCGATTCACTCATAGCTCATCTTACAATGGCAAGGGTACTCGACTGTCTACAAACCTCAATGAAGCAATGGCAACTGGGATTCAAGTTAAGCTTAGTGTTACAATGACTGCTGCTGGCACTACAGCTCCTTTGTTTGTGTCCATCACAGGATTGAATGAAAGAGAGCTTACTGATCAGGAAGACAATGACTCTGGTGTCCTTATTCTTGAAATTCCTGGTTTATGAATTGGAGGTGGCGGGGTTACTGCTGGTAATCGGGATATTGGATATGTTGTCTTTGTAAGGAATAACAGAGACAAGCAGACTGATCGGGTCAAATATGAAGCCTACACAGATAAGGTTCTCATTCCCTTCATCAATCAACTGCGAAAGTTGCAACCAGGAATGCCTCTTACTGAGGATATGAGAGCTGTGACATGGTGTGATGGAGACCTCGCCCAACTGGCAACAAATGTTGATGATGGTTTCATCAAAAAGTTCAAAGATGCGAAGATTTGGGTTTGTAAGCAATCGGCTGCCCGAACTGGCACCGAACAACCATGTGACTTGTGTCCTGGCTTCAAAAGCATACACTTTCAACAAAAGAACTTCACGATGCAGGATGTGCCTAGAGGTGCTGACGATTGGAAAGATGAGGTTGTCGAAGTCATACAGAAAGCTGATTCGCTTGGGTTGAACCTGCCAGACAACAAGCGAAGGGCCTTAGCTGAGTTCATTTGTGGATTGCCTCAGATTACACTCACGGCAATAACACCCAGGATTGTTAAGCATGGCTTCTACCAAAATGGCATTCTGGCTGAGCATAACAGTGAGTCTAAGTATGCCTTCCCCAACCTGGATAGGATGATTTCGACTTGCAGAACAACAATCCCAACAACCCTCAGGCAGAAGTGCTGGGATGATTATGCTAGGCTGGCTGCATTCTATAATGCCTATCCCTCCAAATATGCCAAGAAGACTGTTGACCCAGCTCTTCGACGAGGTTATCATGAGAATCTAAGGCAATACATCGCATTGGGCTATCCACTAGCCAAAGATGTGAAGGATCTTGTAGATGTGTTTGGTCTCAAGGCAGCAGACAATCAGTGGATCAAATCAATGCGCTATAGGACAAAAAATGGACAAGCTATTCAGCTAGCTGATCAGCACCGACGTGCCATGCATTACCTTATGGAATGTGGATTGAAGCTTTGTCTTGCTCCTGCTTGTGACATTTCTGTAAATGCTGGCTGGGAACAGGCAACTGGATGCTATGGTAAGGATTAGCTATCTAGATAGCTTTTAAAGTTAGTAGTTGTATGTGTAGTATTGGCAGTGGAGTGTTGTCCACCAGAACTTTGCTTTGGATTTTACCTGCTGATGCACTAGCTTAATAAAAGGGAGAAAACAATTTCTTAAAAGTAAGAAAAAATTCAGTTCCATTGGAACCCGTCCTGGGGATGGTAGTGTGGTCTGTGGTGTTGTGGGAAAGATCGAGAAAGATCAAAGATATGAGTCACGGTCTGAGCAAATCCGTGATTCATTGGCGCGGACCCGCGCGATACCTTCGAAGTCCCTCCGATGCTTTCTTTCCAAGCATTCCCAGCAACACGGCAACGACTTGTTTCCCTTGCCTTGGTTGGATCAGATCCATTAGCCGTTGTTGACCTTCTCTTTGTTCTCTATCTCACAGTTGGTTCTGTGGTTGATCGTACCGTAGTAATAAAAAAGAGCACCAATAGTAGTTCACCATGAGCAATATCAATGGGGGCAACGCCCGAAGGAGCATGATGTCCTCTGTGGACTTTTACCGACGCGTTCCCAAGGATCTCACAGAGGTAAGCCAATGCGTTGGTCATTTTGCGTAGGATTCTACGTGTTTCCCGTACACGGATCTTTCGAGAATCTTGTCTTTGTCCATGCATCCATGCCATGGTCATTGCCAATCCTACCTCTTTCTTATCCACCGTTATCTTGATACCCTTGTATCCCCATGGTTATTATCATGATTGCTGTTTTATAATTATTAATTTGGTGGGTAGGCTACCACACTGGGTGCGTTCATGTCGGTGTGTGCCATTTCGGTAATGGCGGTCCTCTTTTTTTCCGAGACGTTGGCGTTTGCTCGGACCAAGATTGTGACTTCCATTTCGGTGGACGAAAACACGGAACCACAGATACGGCTCAACTTTAATATAACCATGCTGGATCTGCACTGTGACTACGTATCGGTCGATGTCTGGGATGCCCTTGGAACCAACCGTCAAAATGTTACCAAGAACGTGGACAAGTGGCAAATTGATTCCGAAGGACAACGACGGATTTTCAGTGGACGCAACCGTGAAGCGCGTGATTTGGTCCATGATGAACACGATAGGACTCTAGAGGAAATGCATGCTGAAGATGGAGTTCATGCCATTGAACTTACAGAAGGAAACTTTGATGAATTCATGCAAGCCAATGATATGGCCTTTGTCGATATGTTCGCACCCTGGTGTGTCTGGTGTCAGCGTCTTGCTCCCACTTGGGAAAAATTTGCACAGGAAGTCAAAAAGGAAAATATGCCCATTGGAGTTGGAAAAATCGATTGTATGGCACAAGCCAACTTGTGCCGCAAGCAAAAGATTATGGCATTTCCCACTCTTCGATGGTTCCAAAATGGAGAAGCCGTCACTCCTGATTACAAAATGGATCGTACTGTCGATGCCTTGGTCGGATTTGCCAAGCGAAAATTGGAAATGGATGAACGTTACAAAAAGTGGCAAGAACAGGCGGGAGATGGCGCCGACGAGGAGAAAAAGCGCAAGTTGTTCCAAAACAGTCGTCCCGAACATCCCGGATGCCAAGTATCCGGACATCTCATGGTTAACCGTGTGCCTGGAAACTTTCACATTGAAGCCAAGTCCAAGAACCACAATCTCAATGCAGCCATGACCAACTTGACACACCGCGTCAATCATCTCAGCTTTGGTGATCCCATTGACGAAAAGAGCCGAAAGGCAAAACGCATCTTGAAACAGGTTCCAGAAGAGCACAGGCAATTTTCCCCCATGGATGCTCAAATGTACCACACTTCGGAGTTCCATCAGGCGTATCATCATTACATCAAAGTGGTGTCTACTCATCTCAACATGGGAGCGGCCGGAAGTGCCAATGCCATGGTCACCTACCAGTTCTTGGAGCAATCTCAAATTGTCTACTATGATGTCAACAATGTGCCGGAAGCTCGCTTTTCGTATGACTTGAGTCCCATGAGTGTGGTGGTGGAGAAGGCGGGACGCAAGTGGTATGATTATCTCACGTCGTTGTGTGCTATCATTGGAGGAACCTTTACAACGCTCGGTTTGATAGACGCCACACTCTACAGAGTGCTCAAGCCAAAGAAGCTATAGTGCGGTGGTTGGTGGTGCATGCATGGGCTATATCATATCGAAAACAGCAACGACAAACAATCCTTCTTTAGAGGCGTCGCGGTTCGTGTTAGTTAAAACATTTCATACCTTTACTTAGAATGCATCTTTGTTTTGGGCAGTGCAAGAACTTGTCAGTATAATAGTCAGTCCATTCTTTCAAGCCGTTGCGAAAGCCGTCTTTCGAGATCTTTCATTTTATGGGATTCTTCAATCGAACTTACCGTCGCAGTTACGGCAGAATCAAAACAAACGAGATGGGCGAAGGACTACGTGTAGAGAGGTACAGCAGGAGCAGCAAATATCATACAGTTCTATTGCGCTTGTTTTTTTAAGGCTGTGGAGAACTCGCAATTTCTGCGGTTCCGGCGTGATGTCCATGGTCACTATTCACGGAAACATGCACTTGTCATCCACTGGAGGTAAGGTCATTTGGGTTTACTGTAAGAGAAGACTCCGAGCACATCATCACTTCAGCACGTTAGTTTAGTCTACTCTACAAATTAGCAGCAGCTCCTTACGAAATGTGTGTCGCAATGAACTTCCACCCAATGGCATCGGACCAATTCAAACAACGCCAAACTTCTTTCCACCGTTCCCAGATACACCCATCGTTCAAATGCTAACGAGCCCACTAAACGGAAGAACCGGCGTCTCTCTGCATCTTCATGCCTTTGTCTGCAACAAGGAAGCCAAAGTTCGTTCCACGCTCTTCGGAGTGCCCAGCGTGAACTGCGATGATCTTCATATCATTGTCTTCATCGCCCCCCAAGAGGAAAACTGGGGCTCCAGAAAAACCTGGAACACTATTGACACGATACTCAACGTGTTCGTCACCCACAAAGGCGATTTCTCCAACAGTGATGAAAGTATCGCCCACCTGTGGCTCATAGGCTTGCTCGGTTTTCTCTTCATTGCCATCTTCACCACCTTTGACGCAAGATCCAAGACTCTCCTGCATGGTCTTGGCCAGCAAGTCGGTGCAACTGTGGGCTAAGATGCCTACTTCCATGCCCTCCTTCAACAGGAATTCTGCGCTGACAACATCGAATGCACTGATGTTGTTCTGCAGGGATTCCCGAACCGGAGCATTTTCGATTGCCAAGTCGATAAACTGCAACTCCATTCCGTATTTCCAGCCCTCTTGCCCATTTTCGTTACCGAACGTGAAGGGCTCAGGTTTTGGTGTCGAGTCAAAATCCCAGACCCAGGATCGCTGCTGGACCATGCTGATGCTCACGTTAGCATTGGTCGGACTCTTCAGGCTTGCCACCTGGAACTCCTCACGGTGTTGTTCCTTGTTCGTTTCGTGGCAGAAATTGTGCTTCACTGTTGCCATGACGATGCCTTTTGCAGTCCGGATGATGCATGCTTGGCCCACCGCAGATCGATACGAATTTCTAGCGGGCTCTTGCAAACACTCATTAAAAGTTCGAAAGAAATGCTGTGCTTCAAGAGAACACTGGCCACATCCGATAGTTTGTCCATATTCCTTATGCAGACGCCAAAGGGCATTAGATGATTGCGGATTATCTATAGTTGGGGTGAGTCGAAAAGGACGCGCGGGAACACAAGAAAACAGGGAACACGTACCGTATGCATGTATAAACAATTTTTGAATAGAATCAATTTGGCTGACCACTTGTCTACTGTGCTGCTACCGGGTGCCATAAACTGATAACATGGGGGCAGAGAGATTTGACACCACCAGCCAGGGAAATATTATAAAAGTCAACATATGAAGTTAAGGATGTCCCACGGGGTGTTATCTTAAAAGCGTGAAACATGCAACGTTTACTAGCATTATCACGATAAGAAAAGTGAGAGAACCTCATTGAGAGGGTACCTTAGAGCAATTCGTTCTCATCCAATACCCCAATGCCCGTATAGGTTGTGATATACCATCTTATAGAGTAGACAATGCTCTATCTGTATGACCTGAAAGAAACATAAAATGTGTTGTTGTGTGTTCACCCACTGTAACTGCCGTCGGCTCATCGAAAACTGCCCATTCCAATGAGTATCCCCGTTGCGGGATGGACTTTGCTCGATAGACAGCTAATATTTTATGTTTCTTTCTTCAGCATGAGATGCACCGTACTCAACAATGTATAGTGACTTGGTATCATGTCATTGGAGAGTGGCATGCCGATTCTGTTCTCCATGGTCGGAGGGTCAAGGTCTATGAATTACAGGGCAAGAGCTCTAAATTCGTAGTAGCAGCGCTAAGGCAGCTTGCTGGCTTATTACCTGGAAAGATGGATATCCACCCATCTTCGTCCATAGTTGAGAATAATGAAATAGTAAAGTACCTGAAGACCCAGATAGCATACCATAGCCTTGCAGTAGAGAACATCCTGTGTGGTCCATGCTAGGGTAAAGAGCCACGATTCAACCATTCCAACAGTAGTGGTTGAATAGCATTTGCAGCCAGCTCTGAGGAGCTGGCCTTGACAGCCCAGTGAAGGGAGGATATCATCAACCAGAGATCTCCCAACCTGGCGCTGGCCAAGTCCTTGACTGAGAGCCATCTTCCTGCTGAGGAAGGCCAGTCGAGGCTCCCTTACTGCCTAACTACCAGCTGAGATCTGAGGAAAAGATCTAGAGAGGAGATTCTCAGTGAGAAAGACCTCCCGAAATCTCATCGGATTAACGAAGTCGCAATTGCCACAGGCAGTTTATTAAGGGAAGAAGAGCTCCAGGATGATACAAGGATCTCTTCGACAGTCTATTACAATCAACACTACAGAGTCAGTCTACAGTTGGTTTACACCATCTTTTGAGTGTGTTTCATTCGCATTTTGGATTGATTTCAGAGCCCACATTTGAAGTCCTAAGTCAACAACCTTCTGGTCCATTCTGACAGCTCCAGCCTTCACCAGAGCGTCAGGTACCTTTAAGTCATTGTCTACCCACCAGTCCAACAAGGCCAACACCATCATCATATTGCCATCAAAAGGACCAGCACAAACACCACTTGACAACACGACGCCATTGGCTTGATACCTTCACGAAGCAACCAATCAACCAATAATTCACGGCAACAAGTTACCATTCAACGAACAGATTCTAGACTACGCTGGAACAGGAGACTTATTGATCGCATCAGAGACTTATTGGTCTTCGCCCTGATCTTGGAAATCGGCCAAGCCTTTTACGCCCGTGAGGAACGATTGTTTATTGGCCGTGTCTGGGCTTCTCGCTTTCAGCTTCTTCCAGCGATTCCACGGAACCTCGAGATTTATTTTATTCGCGAGGCATATCTCTTTGCAAGCGTCCGTGCAGTATTGAGCAATTTACTGGAACGTACTGGAAGTTCTTCGTGGAACGTGATCAGCCAATCTGATCGCCCGTGCAGTTTCAGTACTTATTTGGCGTGCACTGAGTCAGTTTTCAAGGTCGCGCGGAACATACAAGAAGTTCTTTCGCGATCCCGGATTTTGAGGACTTATACGAGAACGTTCTCTGTACCGAAAGCAGGCTCAGCTCGCGTAAACGGATTGCACTTCACATTTTAAAGGTTTTACGTGGTCGAGTCATTGAAATTCGCTCCGATCGCGATCTTTGCTCCGTACTGGTACTGATACGAAACCTCGAATCCTTCACTCGAGGCGACCACGAAGACACGAAGAGACTGGTTCGAAAGGCTGAGAGTGTTACCATTGGATCCGCCATCCTTTATTCAGTCAGTAACTACCTCACCTTGAATTTTGGAAGCCTTCCTGAGAAGATTCATTGCTCTGAAGTTGACCAGCTACTGCACTGGGAAAACCACCGAATCCCAGCTAGTTACCACAACCAGGACAACACAGGAGAACACTCCCAGAGATTGTGGCCTGTCTACCTCACTCAAGTACATATAAATTGAATTTCCCAGGCCCTCAGCAAGGTCCCAGGAAGCCCTCTTTGTATTCTTCGAGCTACAGGCAGTCACGCCTTATTTACTGCTACAAAGAGCTAGGATCCAGTGTTCCACAAATACAGCACTGATAGCAACAACAATGTCGGATCCCGCCATCAGGAGAAGACTGGCTGAGGCCCTCTATTCCACCAACAAGACTGTTGGCCATCCCCAGGACCTCCACCAGCACGGGACTTTGGCTACCGGTACCAACCACAACAGGCAGAAAGCAGCCACTTCTAGGGCCAACCACCCGTCTTCGAATCAAGACAGTGGGGAGTCGCCTGTCACTCATCCTTTGCGAGTCACAGCCAACAACAACCAGCTGCCCAATGCCACTCCCTTGGTTGCCTCTACGATGCCACCAGTTGCCCTAGCTGGTACTCCCAATGCATCACTTGGTGATGGGGAGAGTATAGAGCTGGCTACTCCAAGCTCCAGTTATCACCCAGTTTCCACATTGGCTCATGTGGAGCTGCCATACGACAGGCAGCACGCCCCAGCATGCACTGTACCAACCAATAGTGAACGCCGCAGGACGATCCCATCAACCCAGGGAGTCCTGCATGTAATAGACACAACGGTCGTCCCGTCCGAGCAGGACCACACATCCTTTGGAGGACAAACGACAACCAAACCCAGTTGGAAGCCCCACGGTTTGCCTATCCAGGCAACAACCACAGCAACCAACACGGTTCTAGCAGAACCACCCCTCTTCGGTACTCCCAGTGCTACCAGACTGGTTCCGAATGAGGGAGTTCCTTTGGCAGATTTGCCACTGGGGAGGCACAGCAGGTGTCAACCAACACAACTGGATGTTGGCCCCAATGGCGTCATGTCATGGATGAATGAGACCACGGGTCCAGCTCCCCAGGTTTCTTACCAAGTGCACAGGAGCCCCACTAGTGCCTTTGGCCTATGGCTCCAATGCGTCCTTGGTCCCATGACAAGCCACAAGATTGGACGATTCCAATCCTTGCTGCTGAAGATACCGTCCCACCTGGATTTTCGGTTGGGCGATTAGTCTCTGTCCCTGACTGGTCGAGCCCATCGAACCCATCCATCAAGGGACATGTCTGCGGGGCAGAAAGGCCACTCCACTGGAGTCTGCCTCCGCTAAACTTGGCCAACCGGCTTTGTAAGCCACCTATTTGTATGAATGTTGAAGAAAGAAGGTCATCATTGAATTGTGACACCATCAACGCTTGTGTTCGACAGTGTTGATCTGTTTGGCTCTCCCAGCCTAGCACCTACCATTGGCTAAGGCTCCGAGACGGTGTGTACCACCACGCACACCCCAGTACTGTGAATGATTCACGTTTCAATGAATGACGACAAGAAGAGAAGGTTGCAGCCCCACTGTTCCTGAGGCCTCGCAACACAAGCATTGACAAAGAAGGATCTTGTCCAATGCGACAAAGCAATCAAGCTGATTCCACATTGGTCGATTCAGTTGCTTTGGTTCAAGACGACAAGCTGGTCACGCCGATTGGTATGACCACTCCTGGGGAGACCCAAGGGAGACTTCAAGCGCAACAGTTCGAAGTCAATCGTCCCGTTCCAGAGGCAACGATTTGATCCCAAGGATGCCGATCCTATGGGGAGTCTTAGTGTAGCTAGCCGTAGGTAATCGTACCGTTCACCTGTGGTATTACCGCAAGAGCGAATCCATTTGCCCTTGTGGGGAGCTATGAATTACAGGGCAAGAGCTCTAGATTCGTAGTAGCAGCGCTAAGGCAGCTTGCTGGCTTATGACCTGGAAAGATGGATATCCACCCATCTTCGTCCATAGTTGAGAATAATGAAATAGTAAAGTACCTGAAGACCCAGATAGCATACCATAGCCTTGCAGTAGAGAACATCCTGTGTGCTCCATGCTAGGGTAAAGAGCCACGATTCAACCATTCCAACAGTAGTGGTTGAATAGCATTTGCAGCCAGCTCTGAGGAGCTGGCCTTGACAGCCCAGTGAAGGGAGGATCTCATCAACCAGAGATCTCCCAACCTGGCGCTGGCCAAGTCCTTGACTGAGAGCCATCTTCCTGCTGAGGAAGGCCAGTCGAGGCTCCCTTACTGCCTAACTACCAGCTGAGATCTGAGGAAAAGATCTAGAGAGGAGATTCTCAGTGAGAAAGACCTCCCGAAATCTCATCGAAGGTAGTTTGTTGTTGTGTTGGAATAGTGAGCAGCCGAAACTGTTATCTCCCATCGGCAGAAAGATATCGAAATCAGCGTGGGTATGCACGCTCGACAAGGAATCACGCTGAACTGAAAAAACAAAGAACCAAAAAGATCAGCTTCATTGTGACACTGTTTTGCGCCATTTCGCCGTTGTGTACTTACAAGCTTTCACCATGAACCGCGCTACCAGAGTTGAATACTATGATGAGGCCTGCCTTGATTTTGCTACTGATGCTTGCTTGATGAGTATTGTTGCTCTTCCCAAGGTCCTGCCCATGGGTGGTGGCTTTCGCGACGGAGTGACAGTGAAGCCTGACGCAAAGTATTGGTGAAAGGAGAAGGGTTGAATCACCGGCCATCGAAGAGACTGAGTCTGCCCTGCTTTTACTGTGGTTGAGGCAAAGAAATGTCTCGTGAGTACAAGACCACGACATGTCCAGACTGTGTTGTCTTACAATTCTTGTGTTGATGGATGGAATGGTACCATGTTCAAGGCCCCGGTTAACAGTGGCCTGTCCCACTATTTCGCTGCATACAAACTCTACGTTGGATCGACTGTCTTCGTTGATGACTATGCCATCATCAGCAGCATCCAACCGCAGCTACACATACAAGATGTACATGCTCATCAAGGACTTCC